GAACTGGAGAAGGATACAGAAGACATTTTTAAATCTGTAATCCCTTTGGACATTAAGACTATATACTTGAGACATACAGTATGTCTCAAGACTGGTCAAAAAGTATTAATATTTAATTAATATCTTTGCTGGTGGCTGGTAAAAAAGAACCTCACCAGGAAATGGTTTTTCACAGGACAGCCAACTGTAAATACATGGATGGATATACACATTACAAAATGGAGAAAATAACAGCTTTTGTTCATCATAAATTGGAACAATTATAGCATACTGGAAAATTGATTTAATTATGTAATGCCACAAAGGCCTGATTTTTTGACATGTCATATACATTCAGTTAAAATCTGAAACACATTGTATGGAAATATAGAATTGATGCTGAATGTCAATAAATTAAAAAGAAACCACATTTTTTCACAGTAATTAAAATTTTGAGTTTTAAAGTCTGGCATAACAAATCTCTCTCTGGTCTGATGATAGGGCAGTCCCAGAACACATGGAGGTGGTTTGCATTTTAAAAATGTGTTTTTCTAATTCACATCTGTATGTTGTCTGTTTATTTTGTGTTGGGAATTCATGTGTCATATTGTTTATTCAGAGCTGATGGTGCTTTGCTTCCCTCCAGTTGAGTTTCCCAGGTGTGGACTGACTGCAGTACCAGCCATGCTGCTGCCTGTTCTGGTGCGTCCGTCCCTCTGCCACTCTCAAACCTCCGTGCTGTTAACACGATGTGCACGAACGCTGCGGTGTGACGCTGGGAGGACGATGCACTCTCAGGCGGAACACCTCCTACGACGGAGGCTTCCTTTGCAAATCCAGAGTCGAGGCACCAAGAGTCGAAGCAGGAAGACCAGGGGCCAGGAGGAGGACTGGAAGACCAGGAACAAGACGGCGCTGACGTACATCGCTGCAGCCGGCGTGGGGATGATTGGCCTGTCGTACGCTGCAGTGCCGCTCTACAGACTCTACTGCCAGGTGAGGGGAGGAAACACCTAACACCCTAAACATGAGCTGATGTTTTCACCCCCTGCCCCCAACCCCCCCCCCCCACCCCCGTGTGCCTGTGTGACCCCCGTGTTTGTCTGTCAGGCTTCAGGGCTTGGCGGCACGGCAGTGGCCGGCCACGACACAGATCTGGTGGAGACGATGAAGCCGGTGAAAGAGCGCGTCCTCAAGATCACCTTCAACGCCGACACACATGCCAGCATGCAGTGGAACTTCAGACCGCAGCAGACGGAGATCTTTGTAAGACCAGGTTCACTCAGGACCTCTGTGTCATTTCCCTGAATCTAAACTGCTCCACAAAAATCTTCTGATCCTCTGCAGTGAAAATTGTTCTTGCTCTTTTTTAGTCTGTTCACCCTTGTCCAGTTCATTCGTGTCAAACTGTCAGAGTTTACAGAGACGACACCGGAGCTTTTTGCTTTATCTGTGGCAGTTTTTCTTTTTTTTTGAATCCCATCTACAAAACCGAGAGTCTCAGCCATCAACGTCATGTCAGACGTGAGCAGAGAGTCAGAGCTTTGGATTCAGAGAGCGGTTCTTAAATGATGTTTGTGTTTTTGTTGTGCAGGTGGTTCCAGGTGAGACGGCGCTGGCCTTTTACAGAGCCAAAAACCCCACAGACAAACCCATCATAGGCATCTCCACGTACAACGTGGTGCCCTTCGAGGCAGGACAGTACTTCAACAAGATCCAGGTTGGGCACCAGCGCAGCACAAGTTTATTAGTTTGGGTTTTTTCTTCCTGTCTTTACTAAAGACACAGTCCTGGTTCAGGGGCTGATCAGAAACAGGAGATGGATTGACCTGAACAAACTTCTCCTGTCAAACGAGCTGCTTCACATACCCAAAATCAAACTGTTCCCGCTGTGATTGTGTGAACCTCTGAGATCATCCAGCTGTTACACCTCTGTGTTTTCCCCTCCCTCCTGTCTGCAGTGTTTCTGTTTCGAGGAGCAGCGTCTGAACCCCCACGAGGAGGTGGACATGCCCGTCTTCTTCTACATCGACCCGGAGTTCGATGAGGACCCCAGGATGGCCCGAGTGAACACCATCACCCTGTCCTACACCTTCTTCGAAGCCAAGGAGGGTCAGAGTCTCCCTCTGCCTGGGTACAGCTACAACTGACCCACCGAGAGGACCGCCCGAGTCCTAGACCAGGAACCTGGTTCTGGTTCATATCTCAGTCCGAGTAAAAGAAAAAATGATCCAAGACTCTTTTCTCTGACACTGAAGTGTGTTTCAACAAATCCTGTAACACACGGGCCACAAAAAAAGAGACATTTTGACACTGAAAAACTGTTTGTGTTTGAACCAGTGATCTGGAGAGGAGAGGTCCTCGGATTAGTTTTAGTTTTTCACTTGTGGTCGACGTGTTGAGATACTGAGCTTCTCAGACTGTGTGTGTGTGTGTGTGTGTGTGAGTGTGTGTGAGAGATGCCTGACAGACTGTAAATCTTAACATTGAGTCAAACTGTTCTGACAAACAGCTGATAATTAAATTGTACAAAAGGCTGAAGATCAATAAATTATGACTAAGAATGGACTGGGCCGATGCAGAGATCTCACTTTTTTAAACCAGCAGGGTTCTGCCTTATCAGCCTAGTAAAAGTAAACCTGTTTCCTTTTTAGGAAAGTTTTAGTCATAATTGTAAAATTTTTGATTATAAGTGTTGAGTCTTGAACCGCATCATTCAGACACCAGGGGGCAGCAGATGAAGAAAAGTCCTGTTGAAGAATTTGAGATGATGTGTGACTTCATTTCTATATGTTCTAAAGATCTTCTGGTTTCTAGACCAAGATCTGAAGATCTGAACCTGTTTTTACAAAATATTCAACAGTGAGTAGTTTTGCAGCGACCTTTAAAAATGAGTAATTTCCTCAACTCATTTCAGATCATTATTGAAATAAAAATTCCTGTAGTGGAAGAAATCCTCACAGTGCCGCCAAGATTTATTTAATACTAAAGCCTTAGCATCAAAATTCAATTAAAGCTCCAAAATTAAAAGTATTTATTGTGCACATTGGCCCATTTTAGAATAATGTATATTATAGAATATTATTAAAATGTAATTATTATAAATTTAATGTTGCAGCTGGTAATGGTTATTTATTAGTTTTCCCCCTGGATCAATAAAGTCTCCATCTATATGAATACAACATAATTTATTTGTTGATTATATTTTGAACAATTAATCTGAATCAGAGTAATTAAATACATTAAAGTGCAGTAAAAAGTACAATATTTCCCTGTGAATAAGTGTAATCTAAAAACTCAAAAAAAACCTCAAAGAACGAGTACAATACATAGAGCTTCTGTCATGCTTTTATTTTGTAGGCTTAGACAGGAAGCCGTGCGTCCATCTCATCCATCGTCTCCTCCCGCGTGCTGACGGACGTCTCCGGCGTCAAATCCCGGCTCGAGGTTGCCCTAGCAACTCAACCGATGGACCAATGAGACGGAGACCTCCCCCCTTCCCCCTCCCTCTCCACTCCTCACCCCTCCATCCTCATCGCGACACCACCTCCGCTGGAGCAGGGAGGGGGAGGGAAGCGAAGCAGAGATCTGGGAGTCCGGGAGTCCAGGAGACGGACTGAACCGTTTTTACCTTCGTGCGTCCTGCGCGCGCTGATGGCACAGAGCGCGCGCTGTCCCTTGTAACCAGGTCCTCTGACAGCTGGTGTCGGTGCCGCTGGTTCACGCCGGACACTTGTTGGTCTCCTGGACTCGATCTGGACCCGGAGACCAAACTGTTTGTTGAGTCTCCGTCCTGGACCGTGGCGGGACCTGAACCAACGCGGGTTCATCTCCTCGGACTTTACGCGTTTCTCTCCGCTCCTCTGGTTTTGGACCGGTAGGGAGAGGGGAGGGGAGGTTAGGCTGCAAAAGTCTCATCTCATGATGGGACACGGCAGCTGTCATCTGCCGCGAGGATGAGCCACAGAAGTAGCCCGGCCAGAGCGTACGACTTCCTGCTCAAGTTCCTGCTGGTGGGAGACAGCGACGTCGGGAAGGGCGAGATCCTGGCGAGCCTGCAGGACGGAGCCTCCGAGTCCCCGTACGGATACAACATCGGTGAGTGTGTGAGTGACACCGGGGTGGAGTGTGTGTGTGGAGGTCAGGGTGCGGAGAGGAGGTCATTTAGTAAACACAAACACACCTGTCAGGTTATTTTTGGAGGTTTTACGCGCACGGATTTGCTGTTTTTACGCGCACGGATTTGCTGTTTTTACGCGCGGTTTACGCAGCCTAGATACCCAGTGAGCCTGGAACAAACCGAGAGACAGTTCACTTTCTAAAACTGCTCTCGTGCTAAATACCTCCTCAGAACGCGCGCGCGCGCACACGCACGCACACACATACACACACACACACACACACCAAATTTGATGATGACGGTGGCACTGGCGAACTGCCAGAATACAACTAGTCTCTGAACTTTACTGAGGGGATTAGGGATTTTTTATATATAAAACACTTTGAATTCCAAGAAAAAAAGTCATCCATTCCATATCTATACCTCTTATCCTTATAGGGTCGCGGGGGGTTGAACCAAGGGCGGGGTACACCCTGGACAGGTCGCCAGTCCATCACAGGGCTGACACAGAGAGACAAACAACCAGTGACACCTATGTGCACTGTAGACTCGCCAATTGAACTGTTGTGCATGCGGCCGAGAACCGTAGAATTCTCCGCACAGAAAGGTCCCAGGCCCGAAGTTCGAACCTAGAACCTTCTAGGTGTGATGCGCCAGTGCTAGCCACTGGCTACCTTGCCGCGAAGTCTAAAGTCACAATTCTAACTTAAAAAAAAAAGTTTTTTCCACATGTGGCCCTAATCCTCTGCTGTACTTCTGAATCACAGCAAGTTTAAAGTCATGCTGTACTTTGGTGCATTTGTCTGTCTATTATTGTGGAATACAATTAACATATTTTATTTACATGAACATAACTTTATTCATATGGTCATGTAAAGACAAGCTGAGAAAACCGTGGAGCTTTCAAAAATGATCTAATACACATCATTTATTGAAAGAAAGTTTTAAAATAGGAAGTTTATAATATTTAATTAAATCATTCAATTCAATCTAATGAAAAAGTTAAATAAGGAAATCACTTTACATTTAGGTCTAATAAGCTGTAACTTCAGAGCATTATTTCCTCCAGCTGTTTTTGTTGGTATTAATATTTTAGAATATTTTTATACCCTCCTGTGTTATTTTCTAGACAGCTTTACACACTACAGAGCATCCAGAATTTGTGCAGAAAAAAAGGAGACCATGCATGTGGAGTAAGAGGAGTTGAAAAGATCAACCTTGACTCCCGAGGGTTAATTCTTCTTCTCAGAGGGAGAACCTGAGTTTCTTCTCTGACAGATTTCGATACAGTTTAATTTTCAGACTCAGACTCTACATAAGAACATAACGCCCATCAAAGTGTCAGAGTTCAGATCCAGTGGTTTCTGACCCGTCTTTGACATGTCCAGTCTCTGTTCAGATGATCCAGTGTCACTAAAGAATCAAAGATTAGAGAAAGGTCAAAAACTTCTTCTCACATGAATCATCTGACGACCCTTCAGATTTATCTGGTCCCCCTTTGGAGGGGCCCGACCCCTGGGTTGGGAACCACTGGGGCTGCACAATATATCGCCTCAGCATCATCACAGTGATGAGAGCATGAGGCAAATTAACAGTTCTCATTTAAAGAGGAGTCTGTTCCTGGATTCACAGTTTCTGGATTCTCAATCTTTGTGATGCAGAACTCACTGCACAGTTTTTGGACAAGAGTCCAGGTGTGTTTTGATTCATTTAAAGCAGGTGGACACACTGTAAACCTGGTCGGATGTGGTCTGAACGAGTTCATTTGAAGCAGACTGAAGGATCAGTTGACAGATGTGAAAAACTGAACCTATCCTTTAACTACAGCCGCCTCTGACATCAGGACAAACTACACTGGCGCAGAGTCAGATTAGTTTAAGATAAGATTTAGTCTGTAGATTAGAGTGTCCAGTTTATCAGGTACACCTGGTTAAAACTAATAAGTTGTAGTCTGATGGAGTTGTTGATTCACCGTTCACATCAGTCCCTCTGTATTGTAGATGTAGATGTGAAGGTTTAACAGGAATATTTTAGTAAGAATATGCAGCAGCGTCTCTTCTGTTCAACAGCATGGTCGACAGTGTTTCAGGGTAATTCATGATTATAACTTCACATGAATATTTTTACATTTCAGCTTTATCAGGTCAAAATGTTTGAGACATAACCAGTTGTGTTTCGGTTTTGTAAATGTGTGTGTGTGTGTGTGTATATACAGTGTGTGTGTGTATATATATATGTGTATGTTTGTGTGTAAAGTGTGTGTACTGTGTGTGTGTGTGTGTGTAGAATGTGTATATGTGTGTGCGGTGTGGGACCTGTGTGTATTAATAAACGCTGGCTGGCAGCTGCTCATGACTCACACTCTGCAGGAGGTCGACAAACATGATGTAACTCACAGTTCAGCACCATGATGGAGGGGAGGGGGGTGGAGGGACGGTCTTTGGCGGCAGTGCACACTTGTTTACATAATTACATTTACAACCTGTTGTTTGAGACAGAACTGAAGATAAAATGATTTACGAAAACATTACATTCAGTCATTACATCATGTTTATATTTCTGAACACGGCTGCAGATAACATTTTCATCATCAGTTCATCCACCAGTTAATTTCTCCATTAGAAGAAGAATTTAAACAAATATATCATATCATTTAAAAAATACACACCTCCTCATGGTTGTCTGCCTCCTCCACTCAGACTAGTCTCAGGTTACATCCCTGTTTATCCAGAGTCATAGAAAATATGAAGCATTTGTGTGAAATCTTGTCATAATTGCTGTGAAGTCTTGAGTAATGGCTAAAAAGTGTTTTCTGATGTCACACTGACCTTGAGCTATGACCTTTGACCCTCAAAATCAAATCAGTTCATCCTTGAGTCCAAGTGAATGTTTTTGTCAAATTTGAAGAAATTCCATCAAGGTGTTACAGAGATATCGTGTCCATGAGAATGAGACAGACGGACGGACAACCTGAAAACAATATAGCCGCCACTTTGACAGTCACCGGCGCAGAGGAATGAAAACAATACCTACAGTGTAAAGACGTGTTGTGGTTTTGTCCACTCTTGTTTTCATACAGGAGATGTGGTTTTAAAATGAGGCTGATTTTTCTGCTCCTCAGGCTGAGAGTAGTTTGAGTAGTCTGAACCACAGAGACAAGAGAGTAAACACTGGTGAGTACAGATGATCAGAGACGGTCTGGATTTGTCACTGTGTGGATCAGGGTTTTATTAGTATTAGTATTGATGCTGATGTGATGCTGCTCCCTGTCGCTGCTGCTCTGATAAGACGAGCGGATCCTCACATGGAAATAAATCTCTCCCTGTGCAGCAGCTTTAATATTTCAGACATTCATCTAACAGTGACGGCAGCGAAAGCCTTGCTGACATAACCAGCAGCAGCCTGTAGAGAGGAGGTCAAAGGTCAGGGATCTTCTTCGGAGGACATGGTCTACAAAGGTGTGGCATTCCTTAGACGAGAACTGAAATGAGACGGTCTGGTCTACGGAGGGCTTTTGCTGTGCCTGCCCTTACTGTCGCCTAGCAACCTTGACCAACATGAGCAACATTTTCTCACAAAACCGTGAGGTTTTAAGGTCCTTACTTTAAAATTAGAATTAAATAGTCAGTAGCATATCCCAACTTATGTCTGCTTTGTGTACTGTTCGCTATTGGACACTTCGTTAACTTGCTCCATGAATGCTATGTTAGCTTTGCGTTCTCTGATGTCAAAAAGTCCCTCTAATGTAACTTTAGCTTTATATTCTTTGTTGATGCCGAATAATCAGTATCATAGCTAAATTCACGTTAGCTTTTGATGTTAAATAGTTGATAGCTTAGCCTAGCCTCTAATGCCGATTTAGCTTTACATCTTTTTAGTTGATGCTGAATAATCGGTTGCGTAGCATTACTTATGTTATGTTATCTTTGTGTCCTGATGTTAAACAGGTGATCGCTTCGCCTCTAATGCTTATTTAGCTTCACATCCTCTTAGTTGATGCCGAATAATCGGTACATACTTATGTTAAGTTAGCTTAGTGGCCTGTGAGCTAATATTGATTAGTCAGTAACTTAACTCCACTATTTTTACGTTAGCTTTATGTCTTGTTAGCTGATGTTGAATAGTCAGTAGCTTAACCTTAACAAACGCCTTATATGGCTTACCATGTTCTGGTCTTAGTAGTAGAACGTCCTAACAAAACTTGAGGTTTTAAGGTCCTTGGTTTGAACAGTTTTAACAGTTAGCTTTCATTACCGGCGCACAATGAATCTTGGGATAGGTTGGGCCATGAAGGATCCACCTGTTGGACCCTTCGTTGCCCAAGAAAAGGACGCATTTGAAGGAGCCTTCGAAATGTGACAGTCTAGTCGCACCACTGTGTCGCAATCGGTCTTCAAATGCAGCCTCCGAAGGATGCGGCCCCTGAATTGGGACAAAGCTTATATGTCAGGAGCCACTCGACATACTGTTAAGAAAAGCTCTGTGCTCTGGATTTTATTTTGAATTAAGTTTCTTTACTTCTGGAACAGAACCTGGAAGCTCTGGTTGCACTTCAACTCTCTAAGCCAATAAATCTTGGTCGAGGAGAATATCACTCTTTATTGTGACATTAGATACTTGTTGGGTTTTCTTACGATGGAGGATAGTTTCCTCAAGCAGCCAGTGATAACTCGGTTTCCCCCCACACCAGGCCATTTGGCTCAGCTGATGGAAAACCGGAGCATGGAGGCCTTGATGTCTGCTGTTTCTGGGTCATCTCCCTTAATAGGAGGTATGATGGAAGACAGAGACATAGCTGTGGTTCGCTGCTTCTCTGCCAGGGAGGTTTGCGGTGAAAATGCGGGGCGAGTGATGCCTTGGGTCTCAGCTCTCCAGCCAAGTCCAGATAAGAGCTGCTATTACAGGCTGCGGTGGGAGGGTGATGCCAAAACCAGACTGGGGGGAAACCTTGATTACAGCTCTGAGAAGACGCAAGCCA